GAGATTCAAACATCTGCAGCCACATGAACACACTGTGACGCTGATGCTTGGCGAGATTCATATCAAACCTTGTTTAGATTACAAAGGTGGGAACATATGTGGTGCAACAGTTAACTCCAACGAAGCGCCCACATCGGTGCACGTGTTTATGATACAAAGTTTGCTGAGCGCATTCAAGGAGGTGGCACACATTCTTCCGGTAAAAACCTTATAGGGTGAAGATCTTCATTGCATGCTGAAGAGGGTGATCTTGGGCTTAGAAGAAATTGGATACAGGGTCATAGCTGTTATCTGTGACAATAACTCGCTGAACAGGAAGGCAATGAAGATGTTTCTGCCAGAACCAAAGCTAAGCCCTGTTTACCCGCATCCGGCAGACCCAGATCGGCCGTTATTTTACGTGGTGGGTGCTGTACATCTATTTAAATGCATAAGAAATAACTGGCTCAACCAGAAAAATGCTGGAACTTGCTTTTTCTACCCACGCTTCGAGCTTTCGAACAATGAAGTTCATCCCGAATGCAAGATGACTGCTTCATTTAAGCATTTGAGAGATTTGCGTAAAGGGGAGTCACCCCTGCTTTTGAAGTCTGGGTATGGCTTTACGTCAAGAGCTCTAAATCCAAGCAGCTTTGAACGATAGGACGTCAAACTCGTACTTCAGGTTTTTAATCCGCACGTAGCCGAAGCCCTAGCCGCTCGCAAGGGTCATACTGATTTTCAACATGCTACAGCAACCGCCGAGTTCATCAAAATAATTCTTCGTTGGTGGAGCATCGTCAATGTAAAGACACCTAGTAAGGGCTTCCATCACCGTAATGTTTACGAAGAGCCCATGTCAAACCACACAGGTGACCCAAAGGCAAGCTTTCTAAGTGCTTTTATCACATGGCTCGATGTGTGGGAATTTTATAGGCACGACACCGGAGTACTTACCCAGGAGACATTGAGTGCCTTGAGGCTCTCTGCTCAATCCCTTTTGGCATTGGTGAAGTACTGCGTTAGTGAGCTTTACTTTAAGTACATTCTGCTAGGGAAAGTCCAGACGGATCCCCTCGAGAGTCGCTTTGGACAGTACAGGCAGATGGCTGGTGGGCAGTATCACATATCTGTTCGCCAGCTTTGCGAAACCGAGGGAAGGATTCGCCTTCAAAATGCCCTTCCAAGGATGAGCAACGATGATCTCAGAGGCATCGAAGAGACGGACAGTGTCAGGGATGCGGGCACTTCTTTTAGTGTTCATGTTAGCGATGCTGACCTTGATGAGCTCAGAGCACAAATGCCGGTGATCGGTTATGTTGCTGGGTATTGTGCACACGCTGCAATGAAAGTTCTCAAGTGTGAAAGCTGCCAGAGGCAGTTGGTCGTTACCGGAAATATGGCCGAAACAGGAAAGGACACCCATTCTTTAATCGCACAACTGGATCGGGTTGGCCTCAAATTTCCTTCTGCTCTTGTAATCGCAGTAGTTATGTACACGGAGGTTGTAGTTAGAAAGCTCATGACGGAAAGTACCTCTACCCAGTTTCTCCATGGGCCGAACCAAAAGAATGTCGTTCGGCAACTTACACTGGACTCTCTGCCAAGGCTTGAGGACATAGATACGTAGGAAAACGGGCACACCTACGAGCTCCCCATCACATTGGTTGCAAACTGCGCAGCAAATATAATGCTCAACAACTTGTGCAAGCAAAGGAACGATCTTTTACGCATTGAAAAAGATCAGAAGGCGAAAAATAGAAAGGCCCGAATTTTTCTGGGAAAGTAATTTTCCAAGCGTCGCGTCTTTCTCTTCACATTTATTCTTGTGAAACTGCACTGGGTGTATTTGATTGCATAGTCATGACTTGATTTCCTTGGTATACTTCTACCTTATGTAAAATGAGCCTTGTTTCCAGTTTTGTATCTCTTTACAAGTTGTTAGCTTTTAAAAGTGCTGTACTCTTTTTTCTTTTAACTCGAACTGCCTCGGTGCCTACTGTAGCAGTTGTACAGTCCATTTTGGTACTTGAGCTGTGTACACTTTCCTTGTGCACTCTGTGTACAGACATGTTGTGCACTGTGATTTGTTTTTTCTTAGATTTTTGTTTGATTTTTTTTCCCCTACGACATGCACTTACCTGTGGCAGTACAATTACTTTTCTTTCTGTCATTTATGATGCTGTGGACCACAATTTTGTCACCAGTGTTCTTATGTATTGTATTTTTTGGCAAGTGTTTGAACCTGATACCTTGTGTTGCTACTGCTACTATGAAAAACGAATGGTATGTTTTCCTCTAACCTACAATTTAAATGAAAGTGTGCTTTTTCTGTTCCAAAGCTCGGGGATGTTTTTGCTGTTACAATCTGTTTTGTTTTCTGAGTTTTATGTGGCAAGATATTGTTTTGTACTTGTGGCATATTTTCAGTATTAAGGGCAACATCTTGTGTTGCCTGTCGTCTGCCTGGACCGAGAACAATGCGCACTGTGATATTTGTACAGACGGCGTCTGGCTGTGATAAATATGCAGTATTCCATTCACGATATTCATTATTTCTTGATACCTTGATAAGTTCCCCCGCCGCGGTGGCTCAGTGGCTAAGGCGTTGCGCTGCTGAGCACTAGGGCGCGGTTTCGATACTTGGCTGCGGCGGCCGCATTTCTGATGGAGGCGAAAAGCAAAAACGCCCGTGTGTACGAGATTTCGGCACACAATAAAGATTCCCAGGTAGTCAAACTTAATCCTGAGCCCTCCCCTACGGCGCGCTTCATCGCCTGCGTTGCGTCGGCGCGTTAAACCATACAATCAATCGATACCTTGATAAATCGTGTGGACATGAGGCCCGTTCACTTTGACCCGACGAGGGCGCGTCGAGTCGAAATAAACAGGTTTTCTGGACTCACCCTCCCCATGTATAAGTGGACGCGTCGGGGCGGAGAGTCGTCGCGGCGAGTCCCGTCGACCCGGAGACAGGGGGTAGGTTCACCGAACTCGCCGCGCTCAGAAAGGGCATGTATAACCGGTCGCGCTGAGTTGACGGCTCGTGACCTCTCCCGCCCGTCGTGGTCTCCGCTTCCCCTGTCCCCATCACTCCGATGTTGCTCTTTCTCTGTCGGCCGGTACGCGCGCGCTAGGCACGATGACATCCTCGCGGGCTCCACGCACTATGTGGACAGATGATGAAATAACGACGTTGCTAGCTTTAGTCAACGAGAAAAAACTGAGTGATTTGCTCCAATCCTGCAAGGAAATATAAAAAAATAGCAAATTACTTTCATTCTTAAGCATAAACGAGGCACAATAGAAATAGAGGCGTAAAATTACGGCAAAATGGTATACGGCCGTATGAATTTTTACGTAAGCCGATAGAAATTTTACTCAAAATGTATATTGCATTCCAATTGAAATTACAAGCCCTCAGATTAAAAATTCATCGTGTAAGGATCTCACTGTCCAGACCAAAAGCCACAGTAATCAGATTAGCCCAACAGGGTGAGCGTATGAGGCAAGAGGAACACGGTGCACTTAATTGTGGTGGAACTGTACACTTTGTTCCAGCAATTGTTGAGGGTCTTTAGTCATTTTCATTTAAAAACTGCTTATTGTTTTCAATTTAAAATTTTCAACGAGCTTCAGGGCGCCGCTTAATTCGTATTAGCGACAAGCCACAACTATTGCAAAAATGACTCGCGTGTAGGGCTTCAAAGGATTTTCCACAGCATCAGGTACACAAATGAAAGGCGTTACAAACCATGAATCACGGCGAATTCCTGGAGAGACCAGCCAGGGGTGAACAGGGGACGGTGCGTCAGGCTGCGGATACGCCTGCGGCGAGCGCTGTGCCGCAACAGAACCACTGCTGCCATCGCGTTGTGCAGTGTTAGCCAAGACACCAACACAATCATAAAGTACAGCTGGTGCAAACTGAGAAAAAGTACCAAGACAGCCTTCGCGGTGGCGGAGCGACAACTGCGTAAACAACCGCAGCCCACAGCGGCGAGAGCGCAGGCTTGGAGGAGCGGAAACCGGTACCGGAAGACGGGCTTTCGGCTCGCCTCGACGCAAAGCATCGCTGCGATCACCGCTCACCTCAACTCGTCCGTGCAAGTTCATATAAACTCGGGCGCGTCGAGGTAAGCTGAACCCGCCACTCAACTCAGCCCGCCCCCGTCGCGTCCATGTACACGGGCCTATGGTGTCAAGGCACCTCGCCTGAGTCAGTAGGCGTGAAGGGCGCGCGCGGCGCCTGGCGAAGGGCGGCCGGCGCGATGTGACGTCGTCGACGTCGCGTCACGTGACGCACAGGCCTGAAAAGCTTCCGGGGTTGACGGCACGGACGGACTCGTCGAAGGGGAGCGCTGGAGAAGGAGTCGAGTCCGGCCGTGTTGACGGTTAAATACCTTCCGCGCGCGATTCCATAAAATTCTCTTCATTTCGTCGGCGCGATGCGCAGCGAAGGCTGGGGGAAAGGGCGAGACGGTTCGAAGGCCTTCTGCGATGAATGACGCAACCCGGCTTCACCACGCCCCTTTCCATCTAGAACACTCGAGGACTGGCTCGGGCGCCGATGAGAGGAGGTTCGTCGGCGAACCCAGCGAACCTACGCTTCCGAGGGGAGAGGGTCGCCGCCCGGGGAGTCTTCGGGGAGCCGCTGGGGAGCCGCCCGGGGAGTTTTGTTTTCTCTTTTTTTTTATCGTTGACCTCGCGGCGTTTCTCCCGCGCTTTATCGCGAGAATTTGGCGGCGCGCCCTTTTTTAGCGCTCGTTTTGTGACAGAGGGTGAAGTTTACCCACGCAAGCACATTCGCGCGTTCGAGTACCATCCGATACCTCATCGTATGAGCCACTCGCGTGAAGCACATAACAATAGCGGGAACACAGCACGGAACAGCGCGTGCAGGAACAAAGAAAAGACGAAGTCTGAAAAAGCGCGTGCTCATCGTCATTGTCCACAGCCGGTTAAGGGAACGCTGGTGTTCCAGGGTGCAACTGCTGCAGAAACCATTGCCAATCTGAGGAATGCAGTCGCCAAGAGGAATGCACTCGCCAGGAGTCGGGCCGACTGACCAGCCCGGAAGTCCTTTGTACCCAGCCACCTTCCGCAACATGACTCCATATGAAGACGCATATCTGGACCATGACATGGCTTACCCTATCCTGGAGCCACCACCGCATGATCCATTCATGGATACCGCCAACATGCTGCCAGAAAACGTACCATTGTCTGAACAGGTGAGCGACAACTCCCCGCCGCTCTCAGATTACGCCACCTCGGCGGATGGATGCAATCGCGAAGACGGTAACGACACTTCGCCATTTGCCAAGCTGCTGCCTTCCACCGATATTCTCGCCGATAAAGACGACAACGAAGGTAGCAGCGCTGGCAACGTGGTCATCATGTCCGATGCGGTGCAGCGGGATATTAAGGAACCAGAGAGGCCCTTGTCTGCTTACGCGCTTTACTTCCGCGACACCCATGCTAGCATCCAACTCCAGAACCCCAACGCCAGCTTCACCGAGATGTCCCAGATAGTGGCCTCCATATGGAAGGAACTCGAACCGGAGCACAAGCTCGTGTACAAGAGGAAGGCTAAAGTTGCCAAGAAGGAATACCGCAGGGCCATCGCGGAGCACAGATCCAGGCTTAGCATGAACAGCGCTTCCGATCAACTGGACATTAGTCGAAGGAGCGGCTACATGAGTTCACCACCAGGTGCGATGAGCGTGCCAACGAGAGACAGCATGTCTCCACTGCAGAACAGCAACCCGCTGCTGAGCTCGGCGATGGATGGCAACTCGCCGCGTGATTACATGGACGTGGCGTCACCTGAGGACGTTCTCACTACCCAGCAGCAGCAGCAGAGGCAGCAGCCTCCCATGGCACTGAACTCCTTGTCGATGTTCCAGAAGCCAAAGCAGGCGTCTGTGACTCCGACTCACCGCTGTCCACAACAAATGGGGATGAATTCTCTTCGACCTTCGGCACCTTGCAGCGCGAGTGACCGCAAGCCGGAGATCTCGGCTTCACTTGGCAACCAGACTTCCGGCTGTGGTACAGGTGTGCAAAACCAGCAGGGAGAGATGCCAGTTACTACGTTCACTCGATGCCGCCGAAGTGGGTGCCCCAATCCGCCCGTTCCTTCGCTCGAGTGGGACGTAGAGTACTGCAGCAGTGAGTGTGTCATCCTGCACTGCAAGAATGTATTCTCGAGCTGGGCAGCGCAGCGACAAACTGCTGACCACCTCCCTCCACAGTGAGACACGTCAACTTCGACGCTGTGGCACGTTGTCCAAAGTCGTGCCTCATTGGTCGGCTCACTGTGGAGGGAGCTGGGCAGCGCAGCGACAAACTGCTGACCACCTCCCTCCACAGTGAGACACGTCAACTTCGACGCTGTGGCACGTTGTCCAAAGTCGTGCCTCATTGGTTGCTCTGTGTCGATACCACGCTCCTGCTTTCCTCCTCTGCTGCCCCCACCATTTGCCCACTTCTTGTTTTTCTTTTCCTCCAGAACATCCCTTCCACGTTTTTTGTTCTTCTTTAAAAGGCTAAGCTGTGCACTCTAACGCTGTGCAATAAAGTTTTGTGATGGCTCCCCAGTGTTTCTCTAAGTCAACATTTCAACCATTTAGTACACTTTGTGGTTATAAGAGGTAGAAGAAGAGAAAAATGAGCCCCGTAACTGTCTGCATCAGCGTGCGACACCTCAACACTAGCTCACAAGGGATGGGGGTGAGGAGGGATTAAAAGGATAGGATTCAAGTTATATATAGGGAGAGAGATGCGGTAAGACAGCGAGCGACGACATAAGAGAGATAGGAGAGATAGGAAAGATGGAAACACGGTCGCAGCAGTCCGAGGACGGGGTACCACTTGCGAGAGCTCTTGTCGGCGACGGGAGGTGGCGTAGGACCAACCCAGTCGGCTAGAGCTGCGCTGTCGTCGGATATCGCGAGGGCACAACCGGTCGGCACGGAATCCAGCGAGCGAGTCTCTTACTGTTGCGCCGCTGGTTTTCCAGGTGTAGTTGAGGAGGTGCTCGAGCACCCGTCGACGATGATTGTTACTCTAGGTATTCAAAACATAAAGCGCATTCCCAGCAATGATTGCGCCGATAATCACGTGATTATACTAGCTCGTTAAGATTTCAGGAACGAAACTGCAACCATCATCTTGTGAAGTAGCGATGCACTCACTACGCGCCTGTAAGCAAATGCGTGCTCAAGCCGATGTATATTTCTTTGTTGTAAGCTTCCTCGTGTTAGATTGGCAAGTCCCGGCTCATATGACCACGCACGTATTCGTGAAGTGGTGCTTACTGGGTGAGTTGTTCATGCGTTATCCTAGAAATCAGCAAGAAAAACGCACGCAAGGACCGCACGTAAACAGCGGTGTCTACATGTCATCCATGTGGTGTCCGCATCGAGGGATCGCTCGTGTGCCTGTGCGTGCGGCGAGGAAAGAAGACGATGAGGACGCTGAGGCACGCTCTAAAGAGGCGTTGGCATGAGGATGGGGGGCGTGTGAGCAAATAAAAGGAAGGTGCAGGCGGTGTGAGGATGGGTGCTCTTGGATGGCCGCACGCGAGCGTCCTACCTCAACGCCGCGAGGCACAAGTCTAAACTGCGGGCGTCACGTAGCCGCCAACTACCTCCGTCTCCTGCGCTTCGCAACTGCAAGCATCTAGCTCCCTTGCGAATTTCCAGGGACATCCGCCAACCTGCCGGAAGCTGCCCTCTCACCGCTCAGCACCTCATCTCGTCACCATGCCTTAGCGTATACGCATCTTTCAACGTGATGCACAGTAAAATGGGTGAGGTGAACCTGCGGCAACTTAGAGCACATGACTTTTGTATGAGGTTAGAGATGTTAATTGGCTGCTGTGTGCTGCCTTGGTGTATACTTCCTTTTAGTGTGTGTGTGTGTGTGTGTGTGGTGTGTGTGGTGTGTGTGTGTGTGTGTGTGTGTGTGTGTGTGTGTGTGTGTGTGTGTGTGTGTGTGTGTGTGTGTGTGTGTGTGTGTGTGTGTGTGTGTGTGTGTGTGTGTGTGTGTGTGTGTGTGTGTGTGTGTGTGTGTGTGTGTGTGTGTGTGTGTGTGTGTGTGTGTGTGTGTGTGTGTGTGTGTGTGTGTGTGTGTGTGTGTGTGTGTGTGTGTGGTTCTTGTGTTCATAAAGTGTTTCCAATCCTCCAAACAGCCTCGTAGATTGGTGGGGTCGTCCGCTCCCAACCTCTATACTCCATGAACTACAGTTTTGTATGACAGTTCTTCGCTGTCTCCGTTGGTCGCACTGATTAATACGATGGTACGTATTCTTTGTGTATTTTCAGAGTCTACCGAGTCTAGTCTGCTGTTGCGGCGAGCAACGTGAACGTTGCACTCTCCGGGCGGATGTCATACGCGACACTGATAGAGTGCCTCCACACCAGACACATCATCGGTGACTCCATGATTCTTCAATGATACCAGTTACGAACCTGCGTTCGTAAACCCGCACAAGACAATACATACTATTCAGTGGAAGGCCACAGATAATCGCCCCATCTGAGAGCAAAGACACGAAGCACTAGATCGCCGCAGTGCCACCCCCGCGTGCGCTCATCACTAGCTGCTCAAGACTGCGCGCGGTACTATAGCATCATAGCGAGCGTTTGTTACTTTTGTTTTTTGGTCAAAAGGCGATGCGGCAATCAGCAGAACCCTTCTCCCTCTGATTTCGGCCAACGGCGTGTCCGGATTTTGATACACTTCGCCGATGTAGAGTTTCACAACTCGTATGATTGAAGAACCCTGGGCGACCTTCGATCAGGCCCTGGCGAGCCGCTGTGGTCAGCAGGATGGCCACAGTCATGGTAATCTACCTATTTTGATTCATTAACGCTTATCTCTTCTTGTTATTGCTGTGGGTGCTTATGATGGCGATTATGAAAAATTATGGCTGAGCTCAGTTATAGGTATGAAGCGTTTAAACTAACCACAAGTTAGCTATCGAAATTGTGTGACATCCGGTGGGATTCTACTTTTGTGCCGAATGCTGTTACATCTGTTAAAGGGATTCCTCGCCGTACATGACACCAGTAAAAAGTCTTTTTTTCCTGTGAAGTATAAGCACTGGTGAGAATCTGCGGAGAAATATTTGACTGCCACGCTGAATGCCTGGGTTGAATTTTTGTTCGAACTCTGACAGTTATAGCTAACTATACTATAGCAGCCTATTGCCAAAGTCAACAATACTTTGGCTTATGAAACTCAACCACGGTAGCAAGTGAAGCCATCCTAGTGTTGTCTGTCGCTTTAACGCAAACGCAGTAGAGCAGCCCCGCCGTGGTGGTTTAGTGGATAAGGTACTCGGCTACTTACCCGCAGATCGCGGGATCGAATCCCGGCTGTGGCGGCTGCATTTCCGATGGAGGCGGACATGTTGTAGGCCCGTGTGCTCAGGTTTGGGTGCACGTTAAAAAACCCCAGGTGGTCGGAATTTCCGGAGCCCTCCACTACGGCGTCTCTCATAATCATATGGTGGTTTTAGGACGTTAAACCCCACATATCAATCAACGCAGTAGAGCATGGCACGCACGAAGGTGTGAGTAGTTTGCCGATCCCTGTTAAGATAGCGCTCGTGCCACAGCCACCTTCCCGGTTAGGGTACGCAATTCCTGCCTGCGTGTCTTTTGAGCCACGATGGCCGGTCGCTTTAGCACGCTTTCACTCGCACATAGAGCGTACGACGCGCGGAGTGATGTTATCGCACCTGCGAGTTTATATAGAACCTCACGGCGACGCCAATGGCAGAAATGCGCCTGGGGTGTGCATGCAATCGCTTTCACAATAAAAAATTTGTTTAACAACGTAGCGTGGGTAGAGCTCAGTAGAAGCGAGTAGGAATTAGGGAAGATAAACACCAGCCCTTTTTTTTTCTTTACATGCGCAACCTTCGTGTTCTCAGTCATTTGTTCTCTGCAGTGAACGATCACTTTTATGACGGCTATTTTTAGGCGCCACGTTTTACCGAGTGACATAGAGAATGTCATCACTGGCACACCTTAATATTGATGCAAGACAGACGCAGTATTCAAACTACGCGCGCTAGTTCGTGCGCCCCCCGAGAGACCAGCGGCCCGATGATGAGACAAGAAAAGGCCGTGGCGGTGCGCGCCTCCTCAGCACGGGATTTTGACAAAAAAGAAGTGGGGCACCGCTCGAGGGCTCGAAGTGGTGCACCACTCTAGTGACGAAACTTTGAGGAAGGAGAGGCAATTTCTTTATTTAAGCGTACTCCGACCTTGGTTGCACGAGCGTTCACTCAATTCAATAGTTGCTACAGCTCGCTACAGTGCAGTTTTAAAAAGCATCAAGGCCCAGCGAGCTCGCGCGAAAGCTCAGTCGTCGCCAACGCGCGCTCGTCCCTCAACAATATCGAGTGCGTTCTAATAAATGACGGAAACGAGAAGACATCTTTTCACGGGCCACATTACCGCGGTATACCGTATACCGTGCAGAGATCGGTGGCGCGCGCACGCCAGCATCCCCAACCTCCCTGGCATTACCCAAGCAGTTGTATGAGACTGGTGCGTTTCGGTGTGAGCGTGCCGTAACGAACGAGGAGCACGCGGTGCCGGCACGCGGAAGAAACGCGGCAGCGCATAAAGTAGGCGAAGTGCCGCCGCTCACACGTCGGCCGGAAATGTGGTCCGCCTTGTCGTGTGCTCGAACGACATCACGCAATACCTGCCACGGAATAAGTAAAAAAAAAATTACAAAAAAACCCTTGACCATTCATTTGGTCAGACATTCGATCACTCATGTTCTGGTATGTTCCGGTCGAATTTATATATATATTCAACTAACCTATCGTGCACTCATTTACGTATAGTGTTATAGTTTGAGGTTGAATGATACACAAGCGCAGAGTTCAGGAAGTGACCAAGGTGACGCGGGTGACGTTCCTTCGACGTGACGCGACGCCATCATTGATGAGGAAATGAACATGCCATGTTCTTTTTAATTTTTTTTTCTTAAGGGGGGAGGGTCATCTTAGCGTCTACTAGGTGTACTATCATAAGTATATAGAACAAGCGCTTCGCGATAACGTCATTGCGAAACGAGAATCTATTTAAGGCTGACCGCAACGCGACAAGGGTCGCGATGGCTAACGACGCTGGAGGTTCTTCCTCACTGACTTGCAATCGTACATTTCTTTCGTTCATGCACAAGAGTTGCGAAGTCGTGCTTGGCTTTTCGCGTCGTGATGTTGATAAGT